CATATTTCGATTGGAGTAGTCAACAAAACATTCGTAAAATGGAAGACTTAACTCTTTGTGTATGATACGTGCCTGTTCTCGATCCTGAAATTAAAAAATTAACAATAATCTACAAGAATAAAATATAATAATCTAGTTGAAAGAATATAAGCAATGCAATGCTGCAATAACGTCTAAACTGGGGGGATGATATATTCCAAATTAAATAGTTTTAAATCATTGAATCAGGATGTTTGGGAAGTCAACTAAATGAACATCTAGTAATATATTTATTGTTTAAATTAACAAAATAAGAAATAATAGATAATATACAAAAAATAATATAAATCCCATTCATGTTCCATTTCAAAAAAATCGATACTTTTATTTACACTTCTCAGGTATTGTTGGTGTTTTTTATTCTTTTTTTTCTTGTTCCGTATTACTGGACTAAAGATTCATTTTTGACAGTTCTTATACTCCTAACCTCACCAGGGCTAGCCATGGGCTACTGGTCAGTGTGTCACGCTGTAGATGGGAAGGTCCAAGGCTGGAGCTACAAAATCACCCGACTCATTTTTGATAGTTCTTATACTCCTAACCTCACCAGGGCCAGCCTTGGACTACTGGTTAGTGTGTCATGCTGTAGATAGGAATATCCAAGGTTTGAGCTAAACATGATATTCAGTTTTAGCTGTAAGGTTATAGGTTATAAATGTGACTGTTAATCCTGCTATTCCTTGAAGAGGAGCCACATATCATACAGGTTGAACTTTAGTATTGTACAAAGCTTATTTTATCCTCATTTATTATATCACTTGCGCTGGTCAAGATCTTAAGGTAACAGTTATTGTTGAGGCGCATTTTGAGTCTGTGACTAATTCTGTACTTGTTATTACATTTAAAAGGGTAAAGAATGAACTGTTAATGCCTTGTAGCTCGTCCACACAGAAAATATGTAAACTGATACACCAGATGTAAGCGTTTGAGAACTGGAATTCGTTCTGTGTAATAAAAACAACTCACTAAAAGATATTTGAGGCTCCATGATAAATTTAAAATCAATTTGTATATAGGTTGGTTGAATAGTACGCTTAAGTTTCTTTACACTGTGCAAACCTGTGAATGTTAAAGGTACATACAATGGAAATTTTGGCACATCATATCTCACTGTCGTGGTTTGTTGAGAGACAAAGAATTCTTAAAATGCTATTGATGGCATGGATGGGAAAATCATTCTTTTTTTAACACCATTTTCATGTTTTCTATTTCTTTATGGAACCCAAAAAGTCACTTGTCATATGATACAATAGAATCTTGAATCTGTGATAAATTCCTTAGTCCCGCCCTTAGAACAGAATTTGTCACAGATTGAAATGCATTTCAACCATAACCTGTTAACATATACAAGCCTACACTGAACTCTACTTTCATCCAACGCTTTTTATAGTGTTTACATATAAATGAAATCTAATCGACATCCTATCTAGAAAGTATATCTCTTGGCAGGTGACTTAATTCTTAGGTTTCAATTTAAGAAAAAAAAAAAAAACATGAAAGTGACGTTACAGAAGAACGATCTTCCCATACATCTTATCAGTAGTACTGTTAAGACTTATCACAGCAAACTATACAAACCACCAGCAGTGAGATATGACGTACCAAAACTTCTGATGTATGTAACTTTACCACAAATATGTTTGCGTAATGAAAGAACTGAAACGTATCTTTCAGCCGACTTATACGCACATTAATTCTAAATCTATCATGAAGCCTCATATCTGCCTTAATCAGTCGTTTTCATTTAAAGAACGAAATGTTACCCTCAAACGCCCACATGCTGCGTATCAGTTTACATGCGCTCGGTGTGGACGAGGCTACTTGACAGCAACAGTATGTTGTTTATAGAATAACATCTAAGTGTGGATGTGCTGAATCAACTGTATTTCAAAAATAAAAGTGATGAGAAACCAAATGTGAATGACTTCAAGATTTTGACCAGCGCAAATGATATACTGAGTGAGAGGATAAAATAAAATTCGTACATTATGAAACTTATCTTGCTTTATATGCGAATCTTTCGGCTGTAAAACTGTTAATAAAATTTCAGTCACTGTTTTAGGACCAGAGTTCAAGAGCTAAATGTTACCGTTGTATGGAAATAAAATTCGTACATTATAAAACTTATCTTGCTTTATATGCGAATCTTTCGGCTGTAAAACTGTTAATAAAATTTCAGTCACTGTTTTAGAACCAGAGTTCAAGAGCTAAATGTTCCCGTTGTATGGAAATAAAATTCTAATGATCGATTTTTTTCAAAACTGCAAAAATCTAAAAACTGAACTCCTACAAATCTTTAACAGGATATTTTATAATACTTTAAAACATATTTTAACAAAACTTCTTGAGTTGAAGATGGAAGAAATAATTTTTACGTGCTTTAAGTTAAATCTGTAAATTAATATTTATAGGATTACATCTGTTCATTGTTATTTAGTGTGTTTTAACTGTATTGACACCTTAAATCAATTACGCAAAATCAAAAGTTGTTACTTATTCCTACATTTTTTTTTCAGTTAATTTAAACGTTTGTTTGTAATTTTGAACTGATTTATTTGAAGGGAGATAGTGGTAACGGGACGCGAATAATGGGCCCGCATATCAACTGTTCGGTACGCTACCCACTGAGCGTCCCTCGTCTCAAAAATTACTTGGACTTTTATAACTGTCATTCTTATCATTATAAGACCTGGAAATGCAGCAATGAGCCGCGAACCATGAATCTTTGAATCCATACTGCGAAACGTTATCATCATGGCCATGCTTGTTCCACAAACTAATCAGAACAACATTAACAAACGTAACAAAAAAACTCGTTTTTGTACTCCCATATATTTAAGATTTATTTTAACTTTCTAAGCTCATGTTAGCCTTAGCTCAAATTACTAATATTGACAAACTCTGTTCATGTTGATAATTAACACATATTTCAACGGTGCTGGTCATTCTAAGTTTAAAACTACATAGCAATTTTATTCTCTGTGTACAGTTAAATTCATTTTTTACATCATTCAAGGTTACAGCTTTTAATTCAAGAATATTCCATTTCCAAACCTTAGCAAAAGGACTGATAAAACTGGTTAGAGCTACTACACCACTGTCAGCAAACAGTTTAGCCACTTCAGCCACTCGGCGGATATTTTCCTCTCGATCTTCTGCGCTGAAACCTAAGTTTTTGTTTAAACCATGGCGAACGTTATCTCCGTCTAGGGCATAGGTTGGAATTCCCTGAGCGCAAAGATAATCTTCTACTCCAAAAGATATTGTAGTCTTTCCAGCTCCTGATAAACCTGCATAAGAAAAAAAAATACAGACATTGTTCAGCTACAGAAAACGCTACTGCTATCAATACTTATATGAGCATTACCATAGTTTGGAGCTAAAAGGGAAATATTTCAATGAAAAGAATAAAATGCGAGTATTATACTGCTGTAAAACATCCATAATTATAGAGACTTTTCCCTGATGTAAAGAAATGGAGTGATATTTTCTAATATAAACATTTGTAAATATATATACTGATTAAATATTCTTCACAATAGATCTAAACATGGAAAGAAATGCCTGAAATAATAGCTTTGAATCTCTGGGAAACTGTTCTTAATTGTTGCTCAATTTTTATGAGATTTCTTATACCTTTTGATATTAATCGCACCAAAAAAACCTTTAACCAAGGCACCATTTTACCAGAAGCAAGTGACATTTACGAAAAAATTGAAGGAATACTCTGATAACTCATAAAAAAGTATGGCACGTAACAGTAAAATAAAAGTAAGTCAATATGTAATGTGTATTTACCAAAATTATACATGATAGCTTACGTAAGTTATTCAACTTTGTTGTAAAAAGTCGCTTTTGCCTCAGTAACCAATAATATGTTTATTTGTGAAAATGTATAAAATTGCACATTAATAGTTAGAGTTTCAATTTATGTTGAATAGTTATTGCATAATATACAATCATCTAGGCAACGCTAAGTTGGATGTATTATTATGCGCTTTGATTGCTGTTGTGTGAATATGGATGAGAACACTTATTTCACTGGATTACAAGGAAAAAAAGTAACAGATTACTCTTTTATTTCGAATTTCTCAAATGATTATTTTTGTTCTTTGGATTTAAATATTGCCTATTTGTTTAATACGAGAACGTTAGAAAAATAAAAAGCACTTGAAAATACCTAACAAATGAGAATATTTGGATGCAAAATGAATATGAAAATTCAAAACCCTTGAGATACATGGAGCAGGTCTAATGTCTGTAACCCGAATGACAAAAGTCTTCGATTTCTCTATAGAGTATGCCACATGAAGTCAAACAGCTAATATAAAGACATCGGAAGTTATGAGAAAGTTTTTTAGCTATTTTTAACTGACGTCAGTCTTTTCCTACAGGGACAATTTCCTGTTGAACGTAATATTATATAAATTTCCCCTAGTAACACCTAATTATTTTTAACCCTTTGGAAATTTTTGACGAGCTAATGTATTTTGTATGTTGTTAGAGCTTTTTAAGGGGTTACTTAAATTTGGAATCTATCTTCTTACAATCAAAAATAACGTCCTCATCTAATATATATTTATATACATATATCAAAGGTTCGGACGTGGCCTGGTTGTTAGAGTATAGGGCTACGTATCGTAAAGTCCAGATTGGAGGCGCTATCTCGATGAGCACTGTAGGGGAGCTATAAAAGTGGCAAAACATTTTATTATTTGGGTTCACAGGACAGGAAAAAGCCCTTATGGTGGCAGATGACGTTGGCTAGCTGCCCTCTCTCTCTCTCTGATTAATAGTTCAAAAACTAGGGACCATTTAGACCATGTCTGTATAAAGTCTTAATATTTCAGTTCCAGTTCATAATATGTATTAAATTGTTCAAGTAAAAAAATATGGATGTCAATTAGAATTTAAAATAAATTATGTCAGATCTTAATAATAATCTGTACTAATATACTGACGGATATTATTAGTAACTTTTTGAATATCACTTGCAACTTATTATACAAGTAACTCGTAATATCTGATATACACCAAATGTTCCCGAAATGGCGGCTAATAACAATTGTGAACCTATATGCATATATATATATATATATATATATAG